TCTATTCCTGCTGCAGCTCCCCTGGTTCACACACTTGCCCTCACTCCTGTCGTCGATGGAGACTTCCTCCCTGACATGCCAGAGAACCTCTTTGCCAACGCTGCTGACATTGACTACATCGCTGGGGTCAACAACATGGATGGACACATCTTTGCTGGCATTGATTTACCTGCCATCAACCGCCCTTTTGGGAAAGTCTCTCCGTAAGTGAAGGATGCTCTTAAAACCCTTTGCAGGAGGAGCCTTCTCTTTAATGTAGCCCCCAAACTCCAAGGACTTAGACCTGATGGACAGGGCACTAGCTTCAAATCAGGGTGTCACTCCAAGCCTGGGTGCCTAGGACATATGCTAGGGCATAAGATTCCTCTGTGGGGGTGAAAGGGATCCTTGGACAATTTGGCCCCAAACTGTCCTGCTGAGAAAGCTGAGAAGCACATGTCCTCTGTCTAAGACTTGGACTGAAATTACAGGTTTTTACTTCACCAAACTGTTGCTAACCACAGGGTTGGGTGTGAAAGTGGGGACTGGGATCCATATCCATGAGCCCTGCCCCACTGGAAGGTTCTGGTCTGTCATTCATTGATTCTGCTTGTCTTTTCAGGGAGCAAGTCTATGAGTTGATCGAAGGACTCACTGTGGACAGGGGCGAGGCTGGAGCCAACGCAACATACAATATCTACACTCAAGCATGGGGTGACAAGCCAGAACAGGAGGTCATTAAGAAGACAGTGGTGGACCTGATTACTGACTACATCTTCCTGGTTCCCACACAGTGGGCACTGAATCTGCACCTGAAGAATGCCAGGTGAGCAGCTCAGCCCTGGCAGGAGCCCAAAGCCTGCCTGTGGTGGGGCAAAACACTGTGATTCCAGCCCAGGGGGCTGAGGAGCACCTTAGGGGGGGCTTAACTTGAAGGGGAAAGGCTTTTAGGTACTGAGTGCACCCTCAGACTTGGCTCATACAAACGCTATTTCTCCAATGCTGCAAGGGAGTCATTCAGAGTCAATACTCTGAATTCCCATTAAAACAATTTTTTCCTTCTTAAAAACCTCTTAGACACGTGTGCATCTTCCAGGGCTGAATCTCTGGCTCTGCTGGTATTTGGGGTGCAGTTATGAATCTGCAGCCCTCTCTCTGCTCTGCTCTCTGCTTAGCAGGGCTGTTTTATTTCCCCAGGAAGGCCAAGACATACAGCTACCTGTTCTCCCAGCCATCCCGAATGCCCATCTACCCAAAATGGGTAGGGGCAGACCATGCTGATGACCTGCAGTATGTCTTTGGGAAACCCTTTGCCACCCCCCTGGGCTACCGGCCCAAGCACAGGACTGTCTCACGTGCCATGATTGCTTACTGGACCAATTTTGCCAGGACAGGGTGAGTGATTCCAGTTCCACATCTGGGGTTTTGCTGCAGCACTTCAACCTGCTGCTTTTGCCTATGAACTTGTCAGGAGCAATTCCTGAAAGCAGGGTGTCCTCTGTACTTCTGTTGTGAGCCTGGCTCTGCCTCTCCCAGTGGTGGAGCTTGCTCTGGGTCCTCCTCACCCAGGGAACATCTGGGCACAGTAGAAGCATTTTCATAACTTGTGAACTCTGCTTATACTTCATTATGAGGGTTGTTGTGGGATCCTTCTGTTCAGACAGGAGTTAAGCCTCTGTCTGCACTAGGGTAGCTGGGACAGAGGGGGGACACTGGGACTCAGCAAGTCCTTCCCACCAGGCAGAATTTCTGTCGCTTGTCTCAAAGTCAGACTCTCTCTTTGCACTCACTAAAAGCCTCACTTAAAGCAGACAGGATTCCTGCCAAACACCACAGACCTGGCTACACCCCCAAGCTGTCCTGATAAAACTGAACTCCCATTTTCCATTCTCCCCCAGCGATCCCAACAAAGGGAATTCAAAGGTGCCCGTTCACTGGCCACCCTACAGCAAGAAAGGCACTTACTACCTGGAAATCAACAACAAGATGAACAAGAACTCCGTGAAGGAGGGTCTGAGGGCCCCCTTTGTGACCTTCTGGAACTCGGTCTATCAGAAGCTGCCACAAGTTGCCAACATCTCGGTGAGCGACGAGCTCCCTTGAAGCTGGCAAAGAGCACCTTGTAAAGATCGCCCCAAAATCATTAAAGGTTTGCTTGTAACCGAGTGGTTCTGGCTCCTCCGTGTCTTTGCCACGAGGGGGTTTTCTCCCGGACGCGAAGCCCGGGCAGAGCGTGTTTCCCGGTGACACGGGAGGTC